TTTAATTATATAAACATAAGAAACACTAGGTTTACATGCATGTCCATGATTGAATTAGGTAGATCACTAATGATTGTAAATATAGTTTTAATCAAAATTGTATCCGTGCAATTTGACCACTCAAATTTCACGTGAAGTGAGATATCTGAAATGTCTATCGCTTACGAGTAAATCACATGAAGGTTATAATCGAACACGATATTTAACTGAATAATTGAAGTCACGAGGTGACCACGTTACCGCCAGCAATATGATCAGTGATGTCATAATGGCATGCACAGCGTGGATATTTTTAACACCCTAACAAGACAAAATTCCCCAATCATGTCATTTTTTTAGTATCTGTCATGTTTACCGACTGACTTGTTACTTTGCGATTTATATACCAATTTTGTTTTGTACATTTCATAACACGATGCAGTTAAGTTAAATTTAATAAAGCATAATATCATTGCATCTCTATGGTGTTGGGAATGTTCCTTAGACAGGTTACTGAAAATGTAAGTGGCAGTCTCAAGAAATATACATATAGAAGGTCGCCTGATTAACTGGAAATATCGACTTCGCATTGTTCGATCTGAATATGACCCAAATGGCTAATAATATATAGTACTTATGGGTATAGTGTCCGGATTCATAACCTTCGTTAATCATTTGAAATTGTACGTTTGTACGCGATTTTGATAAAGATCTAGAGAAATGTTTTAATGGGCTTAGTGGGGTCGTTATAATACAGTCGGTATATATTGGGACAGGTGCCCTCTTACGAACGGTCTTTTCGAGAGTGGTGATATACATGTATCTATGTAAGATATGGACCTCGCTCTACCATAATGTTTAGTACTCTGCAGCCTTCTCTCTGACGACTGGAATAAGATTTGCTTAAACAGCAAACAGTTGATAATCTAGTACTACAAAATGTTCTAAGCCAAGCAGATATCGAAAAGCGGACAACATTCAAACTAGAAGACTATGACCCGGGAAGTAAGTACTAGCAACAAAAGAGATTTTCCTCAGTAGCAATACTTAACACCTAATAAGGTTACATCGAATTCCTGGAATTCTGACACCACATCAACTTCTTTTATATGAACATTTACTTTTAAGTCTGATCGTGGAAAAAAATCTTTAAGAAAAGAGACAAATATAAACGGAAAAATAACTACGTCTTCTAGAAGCAATTATGTTGTGTCATTCAAACAATGTATTTGTACACATACCGATCCTTGGCATTGTTGCTATCAGTAAAGTCGGCGTAGAAACTGTTAAATAACCACCTTAATTTCCTAATATAGCTCCATAAATCTTCATATGTGATTCGACAATGTTAAGATTTGAACACAAAGACATCAATAATAATGGGTTTTAATCCATTCTGTATCGTTAGTAAAAATGCATCGCTGTTAGATAAGGATTATGTTGAGAAAACATTTATGCCAGATGATCAAGTTTTAACATGTTTGACTTTGAACCCTTCTTCTGCGCCTCGTTACAAAGTAATTTAGGTGCTTAATATGCTTGTCATGCGACTTTAGAGATGAAAATCTCAGACGAAGACTTTCATTAGCTGTATAAGTCCATTAGTGGACATGTAGCTAAAATACATGCTATATCTATCAGATGATAGTCTAACAGTTGAATCAACATGTTAGGTAGGTTAAGGGTCACTTACATGTACAAAGTAATTTGTTAAATGAGTAAGATATCCTTGGTTGGGGCCCGTTAATGATAATGAGGCGCCTTTTCCTCTGTAAAGTCTGAACCAAATTACTGTAGACTATGATCAGACGGTGTTTAATTCTTATACAATCCCACCAACCCATGATTAGCATAGTGAAGAATCCTTCTAGATATGAAATGGGCAACCGCAAACAGTGTCTCCTCACGCAGTCACATTGACCCAAATTGATGGACATGTCTCTTACATATAATGTAGGTATCAAACACCAAACGATAGTGATGTGAAGACAAGACACATTACAGGCTGCATGTCCTCAACATAACAATAGAAAAAAATCAATAACAATGGAATAAATAATCAATAACACACAAATAAATAAACTCAGGATTATAATACGTGTATCTCACCTGTTTACACTAAAATATGTATCCAGTCGTTAGTTACAAATATCCCATTTAGGAGGCTTAAATAATGTCTTTATTAAACAATTTCGACACACAACAACGGATACAATGTACGTCTGAACAGAGAGTAATGTAGTGTCAAACTGGTAGGTGTTGAGAAGTGTTTATTGAACCATATCTTGGATCTTTGTAAAAATAACTCAAAAACAGATAGTTCTGTTTCCTACTAGTAGTTTTAAAAAGGATAGGCCATTTTTATCAAAGCAACAAAAGTCTCCATTTAAAGATGTTTGGAATTAACAAATTTTAATGACAGCCCCCTTGTTTGGCATTTATACAGTATATCGGCCGCAAAGAAAATTGAAATTCAGAAAGTGCAAGAAAAGGAATTCGCTTTGTTTTCAATTATTTCACTTCCGATCTAAAAAAAAGAGCAAATATTTCTTTTCTCCTGTTGAAAAAATGAAGCTGATAGCTTGTAAAGTTTCTATTTTTTAATTTGTAACTCCTATGTCCACAGTCTGGTAAATATAAAAAGACTGGTATAATTTCTAGACAGAGATTTAGGTACATCTCCCCAGGGAAACATCACCATGTATAGTAAGAGGTCTTTCTGGTATGAGCGTCCCGCCTATGGAACAGTCTTTCGGATAATCTGCAAAAGGTGGAAATCTATACAGAATTTCGGATATTGCTCCGTATTAGGGATGGTCCCGACTTTATGTGTACAATTTGTGCTTATACTTAAGTTTTCTCTCATCTTACGGTGTACACCTTTCGCCTATTCAGTGTTTTCTGATGTGACCTTTTTATTTGACCTTTATTCGCTGCTTTGGAAGTATACGCAGTAATTCATTTTTCTTCAGATTTCATTTGGCACTAATGGATCATAGATGAACTCAGAAACACATACCACGGTGATACCACATCTGGTGGTGTACGTACGATACCGAAGGTTGTATACACCAATATAAAATCAATGGTAAGATATAGGGAACTTGTGTGACATAAGCAAAGGTAAATATATAAAATAAAGTGATAATAAGTGGTTTTGTTTGTCATACTGTTGTTGATAATGACTGCGTGTCCAGCGGAAAACATCACGGGGGTGGATGTGGGGTGTTTTTCCGTCTCAGAATATCGTATATTCTGCTCAATAACTCCTAAACCAATAAAATATCGGTAAATATGTCTGCCACAAATTAAATCAGCAAAGATTTTATCACCGAAACACGATATGCATTAGAAACTTCTATATAGAGTAGACATCTAGGTTTCTGTTCTCTCCGTTGGCTCACGCCGTTCTTTGACCATATTTGCTTATTATACCATTTTCATCATACCAAACACGTTGGAACCCCTGCGATTGTAAATGCTTTGCATTTGGTACTTACTTTCGTACTCCAGAATCATCCTGGTCCTTTCCATCATCGCCGAGTCCAGGAGGAAAAGATACTCGCTTACAGGATAGATTTTCATGGGACGTTAAAAGTACACAAACTTATGATTTTGCCATAACCCACCATCTGTCTGATAATGGCCAACAGTGTAAGAAAAGATATCCTAGAAATAAATATATTCGATCATATATACCAGCTTGTTATATACTGCTTCATAAGACTTGCTTTATACAGAAGAAGGAAAGCTCAGTCTACTACTGAAGTTTGTTACATGACTGGGGGAGATGCCGCCTCTTAGAATTAACCCAGGATCATCCCAAACCGTGACGCTTATCGACAGAAAAACAGTTTTGAACAGTAATTTCGATAAAGTCTGAAACACGTTGATATTTTCAGTCATGCTGCATCGACCATAGCATAATATAACATGTATATGGCAAGTAAGGAAGTGTGAAGCTTCGCAACCATTTTATACTCAACTTTCAGATTTGTCTTACACTTTGTAAAAACGACACATTATCAAATTTATATAACTATAAAACAATACAAAACAAACAAATATATGATATTGATAATTTGGAAAAGACAATCCATGATAATATAAGTCTCCTTTGGATTGGATGTGATGTCTCCAACCAAATCACGGTTCGTCATACACCCGTGGATTCCGACGTCCCTATGAAGATAATATATATACAAAAACAAAATATATTCATTTACGAAGCACATGTACTTTCCCATCTAAATAAGGATATTTCTTTTGGTCACTTTGAATTTTTCTCCGTCACCATTCAGGTTTTTAAAACTTAGGCACTTAGCATCACTGACGAGTCCTGAAAGGTTTAATTCGCAATCCAATTCTAGTTTTGTATTATCATGTGAGCTTGTCTTCACTATTGCCATATATTCGACGTAAAATAAGATTTCTTTTATCTTAAATTTTGTATCTTAATACAATTTAATTTTGTACGTTAATTATGTCAGATAAAATATCATTCAGTGTACATACTTTTCGTGTGTGTACTCGTAAGATATTTCTCAGCAATAAATAAATAAATAAGTAAATCAATAAATAGATGGATGAATACATATTGTAGTCTAATAAATATACATTGATCATGAATAAATAAACTTTTCTTAAATTTAACTGATATTCGATTGAAAACAAAGCTACATTTGTATGATCCTGAACTTATATATAGTTAATGGAAAACGAAAGAAGAAAGTAGCTCCGAGGATTGTAGTTTTAGACTTTCTTCTCGGAACAGAAATACGGATTTTGGTTTAAAATAATTGCAAATAAAACAATAGTGAGAAAATATTACATCACCATGATAAAATATACATATACAAGAAGATAACACTAAGAGCGAAGACAATTATTAATTAATCTAACTGGATATTTCAAATATAAAATAATGATTTCCGGATATTATTTTCCGCTGTGTGAATGAACTGTGTTTATTATTATCGGCTGACACGACCGATGGGATTGCTGATGTAAAACAGACCATGATGGAAGATCGATGTGAGAAACACGATAATGAGTTGTTTCGTTTCTTCTGTACAGACTGTAAACGTCTAATTTGTGACCTTTGTATCGACGATGAACACAGTAAGCATGCATTCTGTAGCATCAGACGGGTGGCGGAGTCGAAACGGGGCGATCTGATGGCACAGCTGGGCAGTGGCAGGCAGGCACACCTTGATCGTCTACATCAGTACTCGGAAAAGGTACAGCAATTTAAAGACAACTTTTCGCTCCAAACGGAAGAACTGATAGAAAAGTTAGACGCTAAAACCGAATACTTAGTTGATAGAGTTCACAAAGTTAGAGAGAAAGTTGTTTCTTGTGTTCTTCATTATCAGCAACAATGCGAAGAACCTTTCACAGAGGCACAGAGGAAAATTGATGAGTGTTTGTCACTTATTAATTATTATACAGAACTTATTAATGATGTAGAAGAGAAGACCGATAGAGAAATTATCATTATGCAAACAAAACTGGACACAAAACTGGCTGCTGTTCCTGACCCTGATGATATATCATCTGGACCACTGATGACTTTTGTTGAAAACAAAACAGAAAATTTGAGTGACAGCAGCATCGAATCACTATTTGGCCATTTCACACTCAACAGTTTGAGTGATCACGAGAACGATCCAAACTTCTTGATTGAAAAGAAAGATGCAGAGACAAACACAGACCCGGTAGACATCACATTGAGTGACAAGAAGGACTTAAGTGTAGGGGAAGACCCTGAGGAAAGCTGCATTGAGAAAAGCGAAAATGAAGATTACACATTAGTCCCTATTATGGATGAGTATCAGGATTTATCTCTCGATTTTGAACTTGAGGGTCAAGGTGCTGTGAATAAGATCCTACCATGTTTTAACTCCAAGTCTGCCTATGTCTTGACAGCAAAAAGTATGAAGTTTGTCAATGCTTTGATAAGTGATTCAAACATGTCCTCAGACAAGATACACAAGCGTCAGGCCCATCAAACATTGTTATCAAATGTAAAAGACGCTAGCATGACCAAGGATGGCAATGTGGTGTTCATAGAGGAAAATAGAACATTTGTGAAAAAATGTTGCAGTGCAGATACTGTAGTTATCTTGGTAGAATTCCCCAGGGATTCTGCAGTTTATTGTGTAAATGTGTCTGGTGATGACCATATCTTTGTCTGTCACTCAAAGGTACAAGAGCGACGACAGAGAACTTGCATCACAGAATTAGACGAGCATGGTGTTCAACTAAAATCTATCACCCTTGGAATGACTTATCGTTTCCCCTACAGATTTTGTCAGAATAAAAATGGGGACATGCCTTTCTTAGACCTTGAGGGTTCTGGCATATCCAGAGGCTGTGTAAGAGTTGTAGGTTCTGATCTTAAACATGTAGCAACGTATGCTGGAGCCATAGGGCCAAAACCCTCAGAAAACTTTGAACCGCGGGGAATATGCTGTGATAGTGATAGCAATATCATTGTCACAGACTGTCGAAACCATGCTGTTCATCTTCTAGATTCAAAGGGAAAGTACAAGCAACTGATCCTTACACACAAAGATGGCCTCCGACATCCTGTATCTGCAAACCTGGATAGAAATGGTCTGCTTTGGATAGGCTGTCTGTATGGAAAAGTCCATGTCAGGAAATATAAGGACCTGTTTTTGTAGAGTGAAGTGTTGCTATTGGGGCACACTGTATTTATGCAAGATTGATCATATTAAAATTTTCATTACATCATGTATAATAGGTACTTGTAGGTATTTCTGATTTTGGATTTCGGGTTCCATCACTCCTCAGCTGGATACTTAAATATATGAAGGGTGACTGAACAAAAAACAATTAAGTGATCCTAGTCCTAGGTTTCATCTAGAAGTGATAGTGAGTAAGGAGATAGTAAGAGAGCCTTAACAAATTTTGAAGATGAAAATGATTACAAATGTTTAAAAAAACTGAAGTTTTGATGAAGTTTGTTATGATATGGGAAAGCATCACAAACTAAACAACAGTTCTCGCCCTTGCCAGTTTTGACTAATGTGCAGCTGTTGCCTAATAATTTGGAATCCAACATCAATACTAAAACCCATGAATTTTGCTGTAGTGGAAGAGGATGTATTGATCACATGGATTTAATCTTTTTGTTAGTTGGTGGGTTATGTTTTCTGATCATCACAGATTGTATCAAAGCCGTATATTTTGTTAGATTCTTTAAGTTGTATTGTACTTTCTTGCAATCGTGAAAGACAAAAGTAAGCATTAATTTATTCTCAGCATAAAGTTATTTGACCTCACAACACTTCATATACTACTCGGAGCAATATTCTGTACAAAATACATGTACATACACTAATACTTTTAAGACATTAAAAGATTTGTAAAATTTTAGTATAGAATTTTGTCATACAGTTTTTATTTCCTTTTGTTAATATAGCAAAAAAATTAGCTCTTTTATATTTTCTTGTTTTTCAAGATTTTTTGAGACAATGAAATATAAATGTTTTTCTTGCAATTAAATATCAGTTTGATATCTTTCAAGTGAAGACAAAGTTGTGACTTTAAATTCATGACAAGCTCATGATTTTGTTAGTTGTCTATATCTTTTAAAAAATTAATGTTTAATTAACATTTTTTTTTATTTCTTATGAATAATTTCTACCTTTGTTTCTTTAAATGCATCTTCTATGACCAACCAATTGTGTATACAATCAAGAGTATTTTATAAATTATTCAGAACTTTGATGACCAGTCCATGTTATAATCTGTCAGTTGAAAGATTTTTTTTCACTCAAAATATGCAGACAGGTGTCAAATGGAGTTTTTTTTTTTATTGTTTTCTGTTAATTTTTACAATTTTCATTTTTTTTAAATATTGTTTATTATATAAGCAACCTGTACACATTCATACTATTGTTTTCACATTTTTTAATCCTGATTTTTAATTATATTTATTATTAATTATAAATATGGAAGCTTGTGGAATGTTTGAGACCATGACATCTATTTCTTCAGTGATTTTTTACATATCTGTTTTAATGTTAAATGTTTATTTTTTCAGAATGTGTACTTGTATTGTGATGAGCTGCCCCTTCAGGAAATGCATATAAAACACTAAACAACATGTTTATTTGTAATTTTTATACAATGTAATTAACATCTTTGTTTTCTTACAATGACCTTACCATGCATTTCTCTCATATCTTGTGATGTTTGATATGGAAGACACATCACTGCGACATGTTCTATTTTATTTAAGAATTTTTAGCGACTTACACATTTGCCAGTATAAGTCCAGATATGTGCCAATATGTTGCCTTGGTTCTGACAAGGTCACTAGAGTTATAAAACTTCATCATTTTGTTTTTTATTGTTTTTAGGTCATAAAATAACTATTAACAGATGTATGCCCTGTGTCACATCTTCTTAATCACATAACATGTATAAAGGAAATACAAACTGCCATTATGTGTACTTGGTACTGTGTATATATATAGATAAATGGTGCTTGTATGTAGCTTTAGTTGGCAAAATGGAAAGGTGTGACCTGGAACATGCTGCTGTTGCAAATTTTACAGATACCTGTAATTTTATGTGATGTCATAACATTCTATACTGTGTAAAGATTATTTTGCTGTTTGACCAAGTGGAAAGGAGTATCAATTTATTGTTTATTCATAATCTGTTCAAATAGGTCTTTGTCAATGCATGTCTGTCCTATGACAATGCATGTCTGTCCTATGGCAATGCATGGTATTGCTATTTTTTCAAAGGTAATGGATAGATCTTTATAACTTTCATAAGAAGACTTCCTCTTGTCCTTAGTTGTACATGTTTGGGTTTTGATACTTTGGAAAAAAAAACAGCCAAAAGGCGACCATATTCCATTCTAAAAATTGAGTTTTGTTAACACTATTTCTGGAGAGGTTAAGGATGTATAATTGTCTGTTTACATGTCTAGGTTTTTCGTAATAGTTAGTTGTGCATTGTGCATACAGGGATTAATTAGAATAACAATTATGGTCAACAGGCAACCATCTTGAATTTCGAAAATTGTCATTTGTAATTGCTGTTTATTTCAGTAACCAGGATGGATGATTCTCATTTATGCTTACCCTAGTCCCTTATGTTTTTGTTTATTTGTTTTTTATTTGTCCATTATGGGAATAACAGTTGTCGGGTGGCCATCTTGGTTTACAACAGTTCTATTTGTCTATTGTTCTATCTGTAGAAATTCTGAATGGATCATTCTTATATTTGATATGCAGGTAGTGCATTTATTTTGAATGACTGGAAAGTAGAAAAAGAAGAAGATCCAATATAGGTCATACAGTCAATGGTGGGGGCCAAGAACCAAAATAGGTCACACAGTTGATGGTGGGGGCCAAGAACCAAAATAGGTAACACAGTTGATGGTGGGGACCAAGAACCAAAATAGGTCACACAGTCGATGGTGGGGACCAAGAACCAAAATAGGTCACACAGTCGATGGTGGGGGCCAAGAACCAAAATAGGTCACACAGTCGATGGTGGGGGCCAAGAACCAAAATAGGTCACACAGTCGATGGTGGGGACCAAGAACCAAAATAGGTCACGAAGTGGATGGTGGGGACCAAGAACCAAAATAGGTCACACAGTTGATGGTGGGGACCAAGAACCAAAATAGGTCACAAAGTCGATTGTGGGGGCCAAGTTCTAAAATATGTCATACAGTCGATGGTGGGGGCCAAGAACCAAAATAGGTCACTCAGTCGACGGTGGGGGCCAAGTTCCAAAATATATACAGTTGATGGTGGGGGCCAAGAACCAAAATAGGTCACACTGTCGATGGTTGGGGCCAAGAACCAAAATAGGTCACACAGTCGATGGTGGGGGCAAAGAACCAAAATAGGTCACACAGTTGATAATGAGGGCCAAGAACCAAAATAGGTCACATAGTCGATGGTGGGGGCCAAGTTCCAAAATAGGTCACACAGTCAATGGTGGGGGCAAAGAACCAAAATAGGTCACACAGTCGATGGTAGGGGCCAGGAACCAAAATAGGTCACACAGTCGATGGTGTTGGCCAAGAACCAAAATAGGTCACACAGTTGATAATGAGGGCCAAGAACCAAGATAGGTCACATGGTCCATGGTGGGAGCCAAGATCTCTCGGGAATTTTTATTTTAAAGATGAAGCAGTCCTAATTTGAAAAAGATATATTTTCTAAGAATATGGATTTGTATGGTAAAGATACATTGCATGCCCTTGTGGACTCGAATACCAATATGGCTTATTGTTAATGAAAAAGGAACAGTGTTGGCAGGCATCTGTTAATTACATATTGGTACATGTAAAAAAAAAATGCATGAATTTCAGTGTTCATTTCAATAAAAGGTTAAGCATAGTTGGTGGATTCATTGATGGGGTATTTAATATACAGGAAGATAGGTTAATGTACACAAGATATAGTAAGTCTTTAACATTTTATTGCAGTATTATAATATTGTAACTGAAATTGATGTGCTTTGTTGCTACACTGTACACTAAAGCATTCCATTATTATGATATATTTGTTACATTACATATTTAGTCAAAGGGGTTTGCATTTAATATCATACGGCTTGCTGTTTTTATCATAGTAACCACTATGACAAGGGTGTTGCACATGTATGTCATCATATTGTTGAGTGGAAGGTTAACGGACTTTTCTCCCAATTGAGAAGTTTGAAATGTCAGAAAGAATGAAACAATGGTTTGGTAGAAAGAAGGAAACAACAATTTGGTAGAAAGTGTAAAACTATGGTTTGGTTGAAAGTAGAAAGTATGAAACAATGGTTGGTAGAGAGTATGAAACTATGGTTTGGTAGAAAGTATAAAACATTGATTTGGTAGAGAGTGTGAAAAAATGGTTTGGTATTTTGTACATTATAAAAATTTAACTACATCTGAATTTATTACAATGTAATCTTATTGAATGCTTTTAAACAATAATTTGTATTGAGTTGAATTGACATAAAATGAAGTCACAGATTCTATTTTAAAGTCCATTGTATACTTTACATTACGTTGAAACATCATTTTAAGAATGGAATTTCAGTTACATGAAAAAGAGGGATTTGATTTAGATGGTTATCCCAAAATGCTAAAAATACAATGGTGGTTCCATAACTATATAGTGAAAGGATGGCCACCTTATTTCATATGAAGTATTGCTGGTTGAGGGGAACTGATCATTGTGTCTGAGCATTAACATTTAAATTGTTAAAGGTATACTTTCATTGCCTATGGCCGAAGTACACCGCTGTTAGGTCACTTTGACTTGACCCCAAGGTTAAACGTCAAATAAGTGTAAATTTATAAAAATAAGTTCTTGTTTAGATGACAACATTTAAACCATTAAAGATATCTTAATGAAAGTTGATGGATATCTTTATTACTTAAAGCCGATTTGCAGTACAATGTCATTCTGTAACTGGGACCTTGACCTGAAGTTCAAAACCCAGAATGTTTAGTATATATTCTTGTCTTAACCATAGCTGCTAAAACTTACCAACATTATCAGTAACACAATGTGAAATTAATGATTGAAAGCAGTTAAAATAATTTCACACCCATCCTTCTATAAAAGCAGCAGATTCTGTTATTTGCTTGAAAAGGCAGACATGTTTTAGTTCACCAAAATAAATCTCTAGG